ATGGCCTCGACACTGTGTTGGTTGGGCATTGCAAGAACTCCAGAAACTTATTCGGGATCTCAACATGATGATTGTGGATTTTGATGGGTGCCAAATTGGATTGACTGACTCAAAGGGTGATCTTCATTTGAAGAGGTGGAGGTTGATTACTACATGCAACCGTACTGCTAGGATCTTTTCAACGTTGAGATGCAATCATCCAGCTGATTTCCAACATGCCCCCATTTCAGGATCAAGAACACGCCTCACTGGTTTCTACCCCAAGGAGATGTGTGAGTATGTAATGCATGCGATGTATCCTGATATCATCTCACGACATGTCCCAGCCATGCCAGTCACACAAGTGATAGAGCAAACAGTTGAACACCGGGAGCGTGAGCCTGAAGAGGGACGAGATGGTGGTGTCTTCATTTACGATTCAGTCGACCCCCTTGCAGCAGCCGCAGCTGAGGGCCTGGATGAACCTGCCGATGATGAGGCTGAGGACAGGGAATCCAGGGATGATAGACTGAAGAGGGAGGCAACATCATTAGAACACATCACATTGCACGCCAAGAAGAATCCATTTTGCCCACATTGCCAAAGAGGTCGAATGATCAAACGATATGCTCATAGACATAGACCCGAACCTGAGGACGAAGAGGTTGTGTACAGTATTGCAAAGGAGTTTGGAAGCATCATTGAGGCTGACCACATTTTTCCAGCGGTTGAGTCTAGGGGGCTTGGTGGTGAACAGTCCGCCCTCTTAGTGCGAGACAGATACTCTGGAATGTGTTTGACATACCCTCAACGAACACGCAATGAAGATAGCAACTATGATGCGTTGAAACATTTTGGTGGCAACAAGTTGAACGGTAACCCAGATGTTGTATTCCACTCCGACACAGCCCAGGAATTGACCAATGCTGCATCAAGACTGGGATGGGTGGCTGATCCATCAGCCGCCAATCACTGGCCACACAATGCCTTTGTTGAAAGAGAAATCAGGACCATCAAGGAGATGTGCAGGCCATCGCACCTGCAGGCAGGCTTCCACAGAAGGCTTTGGACCATTTCCATCGAGTACACAGCCACTGCAAGATCCTTCTTCACTCCGGCTCCGATCACGGAGGATGAGAGAGACACGGAAGAGGGAAAGAAGAAACTTGGTAAGACGCGATGGGAAGTGGCCACAGGTAAACCTTTTGATGGCGTCTCTTATCCACTAGGCGCATTGGTTTTCTATCGTTCCAAGGGGGACGGCATGGCAGAGCCCACAACTCGTCCGGGGTTGTTTGCCGGTTGGCACCTATCCCCTGGGCTTCGGTATCGTGGCAATGTGAAGATTTTGGACTATGAGTCTGTCAGAGAGAGAGGACATTTGCACTGGCAGCCACGTGTGATGCATGAGAAGGAGGTCTATTTCCCTCCAACAGAATACATTGAATTTCCTCTTGCATTAGCTGCACAAAATGCCATGTTGCAAATGACGGATGAGGAGAAAGAAGTCAAGAAAGCCATCTATGATAGATCTTTCGTGGAAGGGGTTTTGCCATATGACGTGTGCATTGATTCTTTTCCTGTTGACGCGCCTCCACCTCCTCCAAGACACGCTTACATAACATGGTCAAGGTTGATGAAACATGGCTTCACCAGGGGATGTCCAGGGTGCTCCATGGGACACAACAGACACTCACAAGAATGCAAAACAAGGTTTGACGCCATCTTCTCCAGACGTGGCGAATCAGTGGGACCAACTCCGAGACCAATACAGGATGGTGTTGAAACTGAATATGAACCATCCATAGCTCCAGATCAATTCCCTGAAGATGAAGTACCCATATGCCCACCGAGGTCTGATGATGAAGAAGAGCTGCAACCAGCAGCGGTCACCAGACAGCTCCCGAGGTCAGAGGTTCTCTCGCGTCCTGACGCGATAGCCGCGATCAAGAAGGAGTTTGACGGTATTGGGGACATGGGCACATGGGATTTGGGATCGGTTGAGGAGGAAGAGACGGTGAAAAGGCGAGCCATAGAGAATGGCCAGACTATCCACCTAGCAGACCTACTAGCCATATGTAGTGAGAAGAACGTTGAGCTAGAACCAAAGTTCAGAACCCTCAAGGGTAGAGTATGCTACAGGGGTGACGCAGCGAAAACTGCAAAAGGAAATGTCGCGCTATATCAAACCATGAGCGCGTCCCCTGCTTCGATCACTGCGGCTAACGCCATCATAGCATACGGTCTGTTGAAAGGCCACAAGATTTCATCAGCAGACGCCATCAAGGCGTACCTTCAGAGCGTTTTGAACTCATTGGCCGAAACTTGGGTCAGGTTGCCCAGAGAAGTTTGGCCGGAAACTTGGTTTGACTCAAATGGAAAGCCTTTGTACCGGAGGCCAGTCATCAGGCTGCTTCGCAGCTTGTATGGGCATCCAGAAGCTGGAGCACATTGGGAAAGGAAGCTGGAGCAAGAGTTGGTAAACATGGGAGCCACGAAGATTCCAGAATTCCCAAGCACATATGTGTTTCCTTCCTACGGGCATTTGGCTTTGGTTGTTTATGTGGATGACTTCGTTTTGAGCGGGGACAGTTCATACCACGATTCCTTTTGGGCAGACCTTTCTAAAAGAATCATGTTGGATGACATCGGTGACCTAGGTAGGTTCTTGGGGAGACATCATTCAACAGTGGAGTTCAGAAATCAAGAACTATTCGCATTCGACATGCGAGCCTATGCTGAGAGCATTGTCAATGACTATGTTCGACTGATAGGTCACGCAAAACTGAAGAGAGTTAGCACACCATTTCTCTCAAAGACCACTGTGCTTGAGGAGGCTCCGACTAAGGGCGAACTTGCAGGTTCAGCCAGCTCGGTCCTTATGAAACTGATGTGGTTGGCGCGATTGTCGCGGCCTGATATGCTGAGAGTAACCACTTGGTTAGCTACTAAGGTGCAACAGTGGACCACGGAGTGTGACAACCATCTTTTCAGGGCGATTAGTTATTTGAATGAAACAAAAGACCACTTACTCACTGGCCATGTAGATGATGATTTGAATGACATCTATGTTGAGCTGTTCTGCGATGCAGACTTTTGTGGTGATGACGAGCACACATATTCCACAACTGGTGGGTGGGCACAGCTAAGTGGAAAGAGCACCAGTTTTCCACTGACCTGGATGTCCAAAAAGCAAGGTGCGGTCTCCAGATCGACAACTGAAGCTGAGGCTGCAGCGATGGCTACTACTTTATTTGATGAAGGTCTGCCGTTGCTAGAGCTGTTTTCAGTATTATTCAGAAAGTCAGTGCGCTTGTTAATCAGAGAAGATAACGAAGCCACAGCAAAGGTGGTTTCTGCTGGCTATTCCAAGCGTTTGCGACATATGAAGAGAACACATCGTATAAACTTAGGTAGCCTCAAAGAGGAACTGGACAAGGACGATGTGGACTTGCAACTAGTTGCCAGTCGCTACCAGAAAGCCGATATCTTCACTAAGGGATTGGCAGGTGAACTGTGGGGACCCGCGTTGGACCTTCTGGGAATAATCAATGGATATGTGGTCACTCGGACCACGAACACTGGTTTGAAGATCCAGGAGAATTTTGATGAGTCTCTGCAGCCTTCCTATGCTGAGGACAAGTCAAAACCTGTGCCTACTCAGGATGCTCCGAAACCCAAGGCCAATGTGAGAAAGAAGTACAAGAAGAAGGCTCCACGCATTCTTCCATACCAGAAAGCTCCAGAAGACTAGGTCGGTGCCGAACGTACCACTGGCCGGAGTCAATCGAGAGGGGGGAGTAGAAAATACTCGAATAACCCCTATGCCGTGTATGCATGTTCATACCACATAGTGGTCCCAAAACGGAGCCCACTATATTGTTGTTGCCTTTGACTGTAAAGTGTACATAATGTCAGGGTTTTTACAACGGGAATAGACTATTCAAATAGTTATCGACAATGATAACTCATTTCCTTAATCCTGTAATCCGGGGTTTTGGTCATCAAACCATTTACTTGGCCAACAACGTTTGGCTCAAGGTGCCCGCTAAAACAGGTGTTTGTGCTTAGCTTCACTGGCCATTGTTACATCTGTTGACTACTGCATCTTGAATACACGTCAATATTACTTCTGGTACAATCCCCGCATTCACTGGATTGACTGGAATTTTGTCTTATATATAGTATCATACCAAATGAGAGATTAAATGAAAACAAAGAAAGAAACGACAGCAAACATGAAAAAAGGAAAACACACATATACCTTAACCCACACAAAAAAATGAAAACAAAAACGAAAATGAAAACAAACACGCAAAAAAAATGAACATGATAAATGAAATGAAAAAGGACACGAAAAATAACATAAAATGAAACACTCAATGAAAAAACAACGAAAAAACCAAAAACAAAAATGAAAAAGGACACAATAAAAACAAAAAACGGAAAAACAACGAGAAAAAACAAAAAATAAGCAAAAGGGTTCGAGAAAAAGCGCCTTTTGACAATTTCCAATGTCAATTTTGAAGGTAAAGGAGAAAAAATAGCCAAAACAAAAAAATAACGAAAAACAAATGAAAAGGGTTCGAGACAATTTCCAAGGTCAATTTTCAAGGCAAAGGAAGGAAACATAGCCAACACGATACAAAAACGAAAAAAAGAAGAAAAGGGTTCGAGAAAAAACTCCTTGATAATTTCCAAGGACAATCTTCAAGGCAAAGGAAGGAAAGATAACCAAAACGATACAGAAACGAAACAATGAAAAGAAACGAAAAGGGTTCGAGAAAAAGCTCCTGGTGGCAATTTCCCAAGGACCAAGGACCACTTTCGAAGCAAAAGAAAGAAACATGAAAATGCCAAAGGGAGGAAAAACAGGAATGAAAAAACAATGAAAAAACTTATCCCCGTAAGATGTTTCAAGCCTGTTTTCCATATTTTTTCCACAGCAATCAGCATGGCATGGGTGAGGAACCGGTGAGGGACCAGTGAGGGTAGCGCTGACCTTGCCTCGGCTCGGGCAGGTGGAGCAGGCTGTGGCCTTGGCCAAGGAGATGCGCGACAAGCTGCACGAGACAGGCTCTGGTCGCAGTTTGGTCGCTTGATGTCGCTTGACAGGTCTTGACAGATCTTAACAGATTTAACACTGCAACCTGGTGCAACTTAGCATGCATAGCTAAGCTGAGTGTCAAACTGACTATCACGCTTGGTTTTGTCTGAAGGTGTTGGCTCTACCGAACCACATGTTTTTCATAGGCCTTAGCCTTGCAACATTTGCCAATGGTGTGCGCCCCAGTCAAGTCGAGCTCGGCTCCTTGAACTTGGTGCAAACCCGCGTGGCCAGATGCACCGACGTTGGACAAAACCCGCTGGACCGTGGAGTTGAAGTCCAATGTTGTCCAGGATTGAAGCAACAAAACCTCAATGGGGTGGTGTCCTGTCAAAAGATTGAAGTTCCTTGCAGCCAGGAAGGCGATGATCCTCACAGCAGTGAAATCTACTTAGGTTGCTGCCCAGGGCTTCAAGAATGCAAACTTCCACTGGGTCGCCAGGGACATTCCGGACATTCCTTTTGCTCACAGTCCTGCGTTGTTCCGCAGGAAGCTTCTTGCTTATGCGTTTTTGACATAGATCGCACACTTACGGCAAAGCAGGGGTCAGCAGCTGAGTGTCCTGGCACGAAAGAGCTGGAGATTGTTGACGCGGCGTATGGTGTTGGCAAAGCAACTCTCTCAGCTCTGGCTGTTGCAGGCATTGACAAAACATTTTGCAAAGATTGCTATTTGGGTATTTGCTCTGCTGGTTATGGCAGTGGTGTTACTTCTGAATGGAACCAATATATTCTCAACACTATCATGAAGACTAAGCTGCAGGACCATCTCACTGAAGAATTTCCCTTTATCAAGGACTGGTCTTTGGGGCCCGTTGACCAAGTGCATCCATTGCTGAAGTCCCCTTACGTGTTAAACCAGCCACAAGAACTGAAGCCTTTGGCGGTGGAAGGTATTCGCCGGTGGTATGAGATGATGTTTAACTTTACCATCCCAAAGGCTGCTGTACACTTCTTTGATGACCGGGCTGAAAATGTCGAGCTGTTCAGTGACCTTGGCATTCCTGCAAGAGAAGTATCCTGTGCTTCACGCGCCGGTGGTGGTATCGGCTTGTGTGGGGCGTTGCCGGATGAAATCCTGAGCTTTGGTCCTTCTCTGTGTGATGGAAAAGCCTCCGCAAACTCGTCCAGCCGCTAGATGATCTAGGTGGCTAGATGGCTAGATGGATTGAAATGACTTGCAGCAGGTCCAAAAGGCCAAAGAGCGCGTTTCGGTTTGTCAAAGATTTGACAAGCTCTAAACATGAATGTTCCACGTAACGTTCACTTTGATTCACTTTGCATAATTTTCATCATTTTGCACCCTTTTTGCTCGATCCCTGTGCTTGTCTGTGACAGCTTGCATCAGTTTCTGCCGTGTTCAGGCGATATGCGGGCCGAGGCCGCAGCTCCAATCCATGTCAACCGCTGAATTGAAGCGAAGTGGATTCCTTCAGTAGATTGATATTTACATTATTTACCTGCAGTCTGAATAGTCTCAATCTACCCTTGAATCAACCGCAGCGTGGAACCGTGGAGCGCAACATTTTCCCTTCTAGTTTCGTTCGTGGGTTTGAAACCGTGCTTGCAGGTTGGTGCCATCCGGACGCTCTCGAACATTTATCTGGCTTCTGAGATGCCTGGTGAATCTGTGAGAGCCGCCAACGAAGCAGTCCAGCTAAGCAAACGAGTCCACGCAACTTGGCTTGCAACTTTGATTTTGCAGCTGAAATCAGCTGAACATAGCTGAAGAGTGGGTATGTTTGAATATGTTTGAATGGTTTTAAGTCTTAAGGAGAGTGAAGGGTGTTGTCCTCATCGAAACTGGGATGGACTTGCCATGGATGTTTGATATTGTTTGGGGCCAAGGACCGAAGGCAGCTGGCTGAGAATCTGATCTTGTCTTCAGAGGCAAACATTGCCCTCGCCATGCAGGAGCTTGTACAATCTTGCAGCATCTCGAAACATGTCCAGTGGAATTTGCCCAAATCTGTGGGATGTGGATGGATATTGCCAATATGGCCATGACTGTGCAGATGTAATGCAAATGTCATGCAGATGTCGAAGCTTCAGACTGGAGCTTTGAAGGACAACCCCAAGGGCTTGGCCAAGGGCTCCGAGAGATCCCTGAAGCCTGCGAAGGAAGCCTTCAAGGCTGTGGAGCTGAGGGTGTCGACAGTCAGCAAACCCCAATTTGAAGCACGCCGTGAGGCGTTCATTGCAACTCCATTCAATATCTTTGAATCTTTTTGAATAGATTTCAATAGATTCAATATATTTTTGAATAGAATTCAATATATTTCAATTTTGAGACACTGGCGTAGATGGCGCACTGTAGCTGAGTCATGTGGTGAGCGGCGTGACTTCCAGATCGGGTGCACTGGGCGCCAGGTGGCCAAATCCATCGGTGCAGGAAAGCTAATGGGAATGGCAATGCATCAAACGGCTTACGTGTTGCTCGTCACGGCACTACTGGCTTGTTTATGCTGGAGAAGCCCCTCTTGAAGTCCAATATGCAACAGCATCGCGACAGCCTCGTCATCTCTTTTGTTTCTAAGGTCATCTAAGGCGTTTGCGTCTTCTTTCTTATGTTTGCGCTGTTGCATTCAGTCTCAGGGCTCCATGCTGCACCAGGTGAAGCCTGATGATGCTCTGAAGGCTGCCCGCGAAGCGGTGGTGCCCTGGCTGATGGAATTGATTGAAGACGGATATAGACGGATTCAAGATGATTCAAGGAGTTTCTAAGCTAAGGAAGTTTCTAAGGAATTTTCTTCAAGCTTCTTCTCCTGGCTTTCCATTTGCATCATTTTCATTCATTTTCCATTTTCCCTTACATACAGGGGTTGCATTATCGTGGGCACCTTGAGCCTCTCCTTCAAGGACATCTTCCGCCAAGTGGACGAGCGAGCCAGAGAAGCTGGCTCCGTCATCCTGATAGCTGAGATCTACCACAGCAAAAATGAAGATGAAAAGGCTGGGATAGCTGGATGTTTTTGAGTGCAATTTCCGTCGAAACAGTTCGACAACAGCTCGTTGGCTCCTCCTCTTCTTAGGCTAAATCACTGACCAAGTGCCCAGTACCTTTTTAATTTGGCGTTGGACAGTCTCCGTCTTTCAGAAAGTAACATAGCAATCGTTGAATCGACAACGAACCAGGCGTTGGATGCTGCGAACGAAGGGCCGCTCTGCAAAAAAATGGTTCCGTTTGTATGATCATTCTATATATATATATATTCTATATATATATATATATTGTGCATAATAGATCATAATAGTATGTATCATATATCTTATGTATCATATATCACTTATATCATGCTTTTTTAGCATGTTCCTGTTGAATGATGGATAACGACTCAGTGCCACAGTCAGCACTGATCGTTCGGTATTGGGCCGGCCAAGGCTGATGCTGGCAAAGGCCTGCGGAGACCCCAAGAAAGAGAAGGATGCCAACAAGCTGGTTGAACAGATCGCAGGGAAGCCACTTGTTGGCACTGCTGTTAACTTGTGACGGACCAGACTTTGAGTTTGTGATTGAGAAGACAATTATCTGATCAGAATCATATCACGTAGTGGTCTAAAGACACCCAACCACACTTAGAACTTAGAACATTGTATGTACTGTACTGATTGCGCTATCGATACCACTTGTGGGGCACATGGCTGTGATGTTGCTAGTTTTAGACTTAGAAGCCCGCAAGTGTTTCAAGAGCAAGTCTTCATTGATGGGCATTTGAGGAAGTTCGCCTACTACCAGCCTTACCCTGGTGATATGCCTGCAATGCCACAGCAAGCAGAGGACTGCTGAGATGGTGGCGTCATGTAAGTGGGAAGTGCGAAAGCGATAAACTCCGATAAACTATGATAAACTTGTCGTCATGCAGGCAAGTCGCCCATTGTGCGACATGTCCGGAGTCCATTTGGAGTCCAGTAAATTAATTTAAATTACAGTACAGTAAATCTAATGCCAGCAGCATGTTGTCCACAGGGCGGAGGTGGTGGTGGAGCTGCTGCTGCATCATCTGTAGCAGAAGTAAAGCAGGTCGCTGGCGGTGGGAACTCAGTGGGAACCGGTCTAGTTGCAATGCACAAGTGTGACAAATTGTGACAAATTGTGACAATTGGTTGCCTAAATGCCGTTCCCTCTTCTTGGTTAGAGTGAGGGTTCTCTTCAGGACGTCTTGACACCTTTTCTATGCCCACATTTGATTGTCCATTGATGCATGCATTTCTACAGCTGGGCATCATAGTCAGGTATGATCCGGTCACGTTTTTTTGGCCACAGACACAAAGACCACGGTAGCGTATCTGACTTTGCCATCTTTGACTTCGCTGTGTGGCAGGTGGGCTTGGACCCCGGCATGGTCCAGGCTGGAACTGCGATGCGGTGCGGTGTGCACAGGAAATGACGGACTTCAGCAAGTTTGGTGAGTGCACGATTTCTATGGACTGCAAATAGATGGTTTCCTTCCTCTTCTCAAGTCACTCAAGTCCCTGTACTTTCCAAAGGTTAAGGGTCCTGCAGTATGATTCCCCAAGCTTAGCTTCTTAGCACTGGCTTCCGCAGGCCACCGTGTCAGAGATGGCGAAACAGGCCATTGGTGTAGATGATGAGCTTTTCCTGGACAGCGCTCTGATGGACAGTGGAATGGCAGCTTCGCATGGTTAGAATGAATACTGGAGCAAAGGACGTCAACGATGACAGTCGTAAGTTACAGGTAAGGTCGGACCAGTCAAAGGAAAAGCGAGTGAGGGGGCACGCACTCTGAGGACAGTCTGACAGCTGTGTCTTTCCGAAATGGCCTTCAGCAGCAGCTGGGCGTAAAGTAGCTCGGCAAGCATCTAGCAGACCTAGCACCCTCAACCAAGTTTCGCAAGGCGTTTGCTTGGGCTGGGCTTTCTGCATCCTTGTTTTCCGGAAAGCGCCCAGGAAGAACTTTGCAAAAACAGTGCAAAATTGATCAACATAGATCAAAATATTGTTTCTTCATCAAACAGTCACTGCAAAAGTCAGGTGGCACGCCAGTGCAGTAAAAGGAGTCGATCTTGTGGCCATTGCCGCTGCCCACCATGGCCCACCATGGCCTAGGCTTCCATCGTCCTTGATGTTCGATTACCCCACCATGAAGGAGGTGGCCAATCGCATCGTGGAGCTGAGCATCGAGAACGCGTGAGACGAGAGTTGTAGGGAGCTGCGCTGACACGCTTCCCCGACTCAGAGGTGTTGAGCATCACTAAGCCACACAGCCCAAATACCATAGTCTCCCATATCAAAACGGGTTAAGCCGGTTGAGCCTTTCATTTTCAAGATCTTCTTCTAGGCCCGTGCATTTTGTCGTCGACCAGTGCCTGCGCTAGTATTGTTGCCGGGAGATTCTTCCCCTGTCATAGGCAGGCGACCGCGAAGATTGCAATCAGAAAAAGCATAGAATGTTCGATGATTGTCTCCAATCATTGCAAAGAGGCTTACAGCACTGTATCAACGACCAATGACATATTCTATACACATACTGATCATAGACTGAACTCTTGGAGAAGGCGATGGAGAGTGAGAGATACTATTTGCGGTATATCAGTATATCAGTATATAGGACAATCACACTCTGGTCTGTTGCAACCCATCTTCAATTCTTGGCAAGGCTACTTTCTGCTCTGTTGTTTTCCCTGACGAGTACTGTATCTTTCACCTGCACACGTTGTAGTCCGCACAAAGGCCATTTCCATTTTCTGGTGGCTAGGGTTAGGCTTCCAAGTGCAGCCACTGAGCCAAAGAAGCTACATGTGCCACTGAAGCACCATGTGTGGACAGCTCAAAGATGCTCAAAGAGAGATTTCTGCTCTCAGGAGCGTGCTGCCGCAGAAGAGCTGTTGCGTGCCTCGTGGCTGTGCTGAATTCGGTGATGTGACTCTGAAATACTCTGAATAGGACAGTGCCAGGCCCTTGTGAAAGCAACATGAAGCAACTCTGGCAGCTGGCAGTGTCGAACCAAGATGAACCAAGGCAAATGCGGATCGAATGTGTCAAAGTATGCGCTCCAGCTCAGCTCCAAGAGCTGGTTGAGGGTGGACACAGCGTGTTTGCCTCAGAACCACAATGCGATGATCTTATAAGTATATAAATAGATATACAATGAAGTACGTAATTACATGATAATGCTTAATAGATTCTGTAAATAGACACAATTAATCCCTTCCTCCTAATACTAAACCCCCCCCCTAATACAAAACACGGCAGGTAGTTTTTAGTATTAGGGGGGTATTTATTATTAGGGAACCAAATCGAAGTCATGTTAATTAATTAATTAAATTTCCTTATATAACGCAATTAAAATATTGCCAAAAATGGCAGTTCGAAGCTTACCCCTAATACTAAATAAAAACCCTTAATACTAAAAACTATTTTTTCCGATCTCAAAATCAATTAAATTTCCTTATATAACGCAATTAAAATATTGCCAAAAATGGCAGTTCGAAGCTTACCCCTAATACTAAATTAAAACCCTTAATACTAAAAACTATTTTTTCCGATCTCAAAATCAATTAAATTTCCTTATATAACGCAATTAAAATATTGCCAAAAATGGCAGTTCGAAGCTTACCCCTAATACTAAATTAAAACCCTTAATACTAAAAACTATTTTTTCCGATCTCAAAATCAATTAAATTTCCTTATATAACGCAATTAAAATATTGCCAAAAATGGCAGTTCGAAGCTTACCCCTAATACTAAATTAAAACCCTTAATACTAAAAACTATTTTTTCCGATCTCAAAATCAATTAAATTTCCTTATATAACGCAATTAAAATATTGCCAAAAATGGCAGTTCGAAGCTTACCCCTAATTGCTAGAGTAGCCAGGCAGCTTGGAGTGAGGGATTGGGACTAGGCCCCCCTAATACTAAACACCCCGGGGTGAACTAGTTTTTAGTATTAGGGGGGAGAACCCACAAATGGTAGGTTGATTTTTAAATTGTTTTTTAAAGGGGATCAATTAAAAGTCAAATTGGCCAAACTGAAATTTTCGGAAATTGGAGATGGATGCCTGTTTTTAGTATTAGGGGGACGTTTAGTATTAGGAGGAAGGGATTAAGCATAATTAAGCAAGAACATAATCAATGACAAATAAATCAAATAAATAAATAACATTAAATAACATCATTATAACATGTATATAACTAGTTGACTAATTGGTCAGTTAATAATTTAAATGGATAAATAACTAGATTCTAGATAAATAAATCCATCCAGAAATATAGAGAGATGAGAGATGTGACATTTCACAATGGCTTCCACACTGCTGCGTCATTTGTTGGTGCTTTTCAACTTGTTCCTTGGCTTTTTACTTCGCATCAAAACAGCTTGTTGGCGCTTCTCCCGACATAGCTTGATCGCAAAGGCTCTAGCACGAGTGCGCGGAGTCCGTATCCAAGTTTTGGCACTCCAACTCGAACATTGCTTCATCAAATGCGAACTGCTTGAAGAGCTGGAAGATTCAGAACCGAAAGGGATGAAGTGAGATGAACTTGTTTGTAGAATGCAGGGAGGCGCACTGCGCTGGAGGAATATGTCTGCTGCCTTTCTATCAAACCGAAGAGGGGATGGAAAGGAATTATATAATCACTCACCCATCGGAAAAGGTTTGCAAAAAATGATTCGTGCAACAAGCAATATCGGCGTGACAACCTACAAAAGCGTCCGCGCATACAATCCCATGCGTCCATGCCCTAAAACATCCTAAAACCTATATGCATGACCCAAGTCTAGAAAACAGCCATGCATGAAAAACTCAGAAACATCAACAACATATTCATGCATATGCATCCAAGAATATCCGGGAAGCACTGTAGTGGAAATGCCAACAATACAGCTGCTACAGCCAGAAACCAGCAGAAATCTGGTCATGCGTTCCGTAACAGCTGAGCAGCGAACATGTTGGCCACCTAGTGGCTGCTCATGGCGACACGTGCGAAGTCGGGCATTTCGGAGAGTGCGGTGAGGAAGGCAGTCTAACTGACTCTGTGATTGTCTTGTGGCATCAAAATATTTCTCGAATTTTGCAAAAAATTAGATGTGAATTTGATTTCTGTATGTATATATATATATTCAGAGAACTTCTTGATATAGGGCTGCAGCTTGGATTTCATCCTGGCTGGACAGGTGCCTTCAGCAAAGACTGCAGCAAAAGAGCCTGTCAAGGGCATAACCAAAGATCCCTCTCCACCAGCTCACCCAGCTCCACCAGAAGCTCGTCTAAGACCGTCCAAGCTCGTGCTTGCTAGACCACGGAATTTCTCACCGTTTCCGGTTGAGTTGTCTACAAATGCTAGCAAATGCGAGTCCATGCAAAGAGTTGCTAGGGAAACATGGAGGGCTCCGACCTGCGAAATGCTTATGATATTTCTGAAGATTGTGGGTTCAATCCAGACTACAAGGTGCGTCGAAAAGCCAGCGTGGCTGGCAGTCTTTTGGAGCGGAGTTTGCGCCTTGACTGCAATTGGAAAGCAGCCCGGGCGGAGCAGATAAGCTTTCTGGGATGCAGCGTAAGACTGCCTGAAGAACTGCTGGAAGGGCATGTTATTGCACTTTAATGTGTTGCTTAGTCTCTGTTCAATCAGATATGCCTCCGTCCTTTGTCCACTGAGCCTTGGCCTGTATGCATGCCCTGAATCTCAAGCTGTTTGTTGATGAAGTTTTTGTTTGCACAATCTAGACCAGAAGTCCCAGAGGCAGAATATGCGAGCTGTGGTCTTTGAGTCCTACAGTAAATGTTGCCTTGAACAGACTTGTTTCATGTTATGTTCATAGCACGGAGCTCTAAGAAACAAGGTCGTTTGCAGACTGCAACGTCCATCAAATTGGAGCGGCAGTTCTGGCCGAAGATCCATCTACCAAGACACTTGCATGGAAGTAGCCGAATGTGTCACAATGTGTGCAAGACGGTCGGATGATGGCAGCTCTTCTCACACTGCGCTGCCAAACAATGAGGTTTGATGCTCCATTTTGGTGCACTCTGCTAACTGGAAGCCCAGCAGACGAATTCCGGTCATTTCAGCCCCTTGGCGCTTTGGCAACTTGCATTGACTTGGCAACCTGTAGCTGCAGGGTTTGATATTTGGTTGCTTCACTCCTGAGCAGGAACCGGACTTTGGCTTTCTGGATTCAGGTCTATAATCGCTGGCAGGCCAGCTGCTTGTACTTGAAGCTTTCAATTCAGTATGATTACAGTATATAATGATAATTGGGCAGCTAGTTCAACGGGCCCGTATGATCCCGTATGCATGTGACCAAAATTGCAAAGCCGCCCCTGAAGGACTTTGGAAATTGGATGCCGGGCAAAGTGCCAGAATTCCTGGATGGAGAAGATCTCCACAAGTTGCTGAAACTGCCGACCAACAAAGTGGTGGACATCATCAAGCTGTCACTTGCTGCACGCCGGTCTAAAAATGGCTGGAAACATCGGACATCATTAGTCAGATTCCAGAGATGGCCCGATCAAGTCGAGCGTTGAAATCTTCTGAGAACCTGGGTTGTACCTTTTTCCCCTGCTGTTAGTAGAAAGCTGTTTGTGTTGTACTGGTTCAGCGTTTTCCAGACCAGTGCCGCGAAGTGATGAAGTGATGAGGTTCGACCCAGCTGGCCACAAGCGGTTGTCAACAGGAACAGATGGCATGAGGAAATGCAAAGTGAGGATCTGCGAACTGATGACAGCAGGTGTAGTGCTCTCCAGGCTGATTGCCACCAGGCAGAAGCTCAAATTTGTCCTAGGCCGGGTGATTGCCGCATTTCCAAAGTACGCGAAAGTTTTCCTTCTTGCTTCCAATGTCAGGTTTGGAATTTGGAATGTTGGAATCCGAGATGTGAACTTGAGCTTGCTGAGCTTGAGCTTTTATTTCAGGCCTCTTTGATGTTGATGACAACCGAACTTTGGACGAGACAGAGTTTGCCGCATTTGTGACAGCCTTTATCTATGGCCTCGGGGCCGCTTTTGGCCTGCGTCACAAAGATGACATTATGCCATCGATGAAGAGCATCCAGCCACTTGGTTCAGGCTTAAGATTCATTGACATCTATATATCCAGTGCATTCCAGTGCTTATTCAAGTGCTCCGTCTTTTGTGAGTTCCCAACACAATCAATGCATCGTGCACGCACTGCCTCATGCCACATCCCGCAGTGTTAGACTTATTGCAATTTGACATAATTTGGCGACTCTTGATTTCTCTTCCACAGCTTGCTTACGGATCCTTACAATGAAGATACAGAGGTTGCCAAACTGTTTTGTCAAAGCAAGGACGGTGGTACAGCGACTTTACAATCGATTGGGTGAAATTGCGGCCAGTCGATTGAAGGAGCTGTGCAGAGCAAGCACTCTTGACCGTACGGCCCTTGCAGAAGCAATTAGAATCCAGGCTGCAGGCACGGGACGCAGGAAAGATCGCAGCGATTGCGCAAGATTGAGAGATTGTACTGGCATGTACTCCTAGTTGTGGAAGTCAAAGCGTTTCAATGAAATGTGCGTCCTAGGTGGGGGAGAAATTTCTGGAAGTCGGTGCGATGTTGCGTCCAGTTGGTGTTTAGCATGTTTGTGTTTTCTCCAATTGATGGTTTATCGTGAGTTTTTCATGGATACCATGCAGATGGTTGTAGCTATTCCCTTGTGTTTTGGGAGTTTTGTACATCACTTGTGGCTCGCTCTGTTGTGCAAGATTCATACAAACACCGACGAATACTGGGTCGATGTTATAACAAGTGCCTATGGGGAAAGGCCCGCATGGACACGACGCTTACCTGTCGTATCTTTTTGGGTTTACCCACTATACTCCCAAAGATGAAAGCCGTGGCAATTGTATACGGAGGGCTAATTATTTTAGGATTTTTTTTTTGATCAGGTTTAGGAATTATTTTTGGATTCCTGCTTCTCTGCTTTTCCTGCTTCTTTGCCTTTCTGCTGTTTTGCTTTTGTGCGTTTCCTGTTTCTTTGCTTCTCTGCTTTTTTGCTTCTCTGCTTTTTTTTTTTTTTGCTTTGCCTGCTTTAAATACTTGATTTTCATGTAAGATGCATTTTGCACAGTATTTACATCCCTGAGTATCACATGACCAACCTTCTCTTGAAAACTTGCAACGTAACATGTGAGAAGAGGTGCTTGCATTCTGCTTTGGGGGGAGGCGCTGCGCCCTCCCCAATCCCCCCCTCCCGCTTTTTTTTTTAATTTAAACTTAAACCCAAGTTACATTAGTTGGTTTTTGCGAACTAACCTTCTCTGGAAAGCTGACAGGATTACATGTGATAGATAGATAGATAGATAGATAGATAGATAGATAGATAGATAGATAGATAGATAGATAGATAGATAGCTGGATAGATAGATAGCTTGGTAGATAGATAGCTAGATAGATAGCCAGCTAGATAGATAGATAGCTAGAGAGATAGATAGCAAGATACCTGGATAGATAGATGGCTAGATAGATAGCTAGATAGATAGATAGCTAGATAGCTAGCTAGATAGATAAAGAGGTAGCTAGATAGATAGCTAGATAGATAGATAGATAGATAGCTAAATAGATAGGCAGATAGTTAGCCAGATAGATAGATAGCTAGATAGATAGCTCGTTAGCTAGATAGCTGGATAGACAGCTGGATGGCTAAATAGATAGATAGCTAGATAGATAGAAAGCTAGATAACTAGATAGCTCGATAGATAGTTAGCTAGATAGCTCGATAGCTAGATAGCTGGATAGACAGCTGGATGGCTAGATAGATAGATAGCTAGATAGATAGAAAGCTAGATAGCTAGATAGCTAGATAGATAGTTAGCTAGATAGCTAGATAGCTAGATAGGCAGATAGATAGCTAGCAAGATAGCTAGCTAGATAGGTAGATAGATAGCTAGATAGATAGATAGCTTGCTAGATAGATAGCTAGCTTGCTAGATAGATAGCTAGCTAGATAGCTAGATAGCTAGCTAGCTGGATAGATAGCTAGCGCCCTCCCTCAATCCCCCCCACCCGCTTTTTATCTAATCCCAAGCTTCCGCATCTGTAAATATTTGGGTGAACATGCTCACATGTAGAACATCCCATGCAAAATGGAAGGTGAACATGCCAAAATGTGGCAAATACCATACAAAATGGAAGGTGAACATGCCCGCATGTAGGAAATCCCATGCAAAATGGAAGGTGAACATGCCAAAATGTGGCAAATACCATACACAATGGAAGGTGAACATGCCCACATGTAGTAAATCCCATGCAAAATGGAAGGTGAACATGCCCAAATGTGGCAAATACCATGCAAAATGACAAATTCAAGTTCCAAACCGTTGCAAACACTAGGCAAATGGTACCAGCCAAGAAATCCAAAAAAATTCCCAAACCTGCTGAAAAAAAAAATCCTAAAACTATTTCACACCCATTGTATACTTGTTTGCCAAGCTTGCGTCCCTTTGCTCTCCTTGCTCTTGCCTGCAGCTGCTGCTTGGCTAGGTTTCCTCTTCTGCTCCACCGCTGAAAGCTCTTGAGTCTAACTGTTCTGAAAAGAATGCGAAAGCGTGTGGCTACCAAAGAGTTTGTCAGGAGACTTAGGGGGTCAGTCTCCCAAAATCTGATTTCGGACCTCGTTTGGACCTCGTTTGCACCTCGTTCGGACCTCGTTAAAATTGCAGCCAGTCAAAACCCAGCCCGGAGAGGTTGTGGAAAGGCTTTGCAATGGTCTGCTGCTTGGTCTGCTGCTGCTGCTGCTGTTGTTGTTGCTTGTGTTGCTGCTTCTGGGCAAGGCGCGGTTTTTGGGCAGAGAAGCAAGAGATTTTGTCTGGCGTAAGCGGTGTGCCAGCCATGCGGCTGGCGCAAGTTCTAGTAAATGGCGTAGGTATCAATGTGCATGTTTGGATAAGCGTCCACATGGTGTTTAACATCCGTGGATATATATTTTTAAGATTGTGGGACATAACTGTGCACACGCGTCCTGATGGGGATTTGGAAAATTTGGCAATAGAAAAGTGCACTGCCAGGGATCTAAAAATAACACTTCTATATATAGTGCGTCCCATGGTGTTTTAGACCTGATTGCATTGACTTGTTTGACTTCCTGAATGCGCGGCGTCCCATGCAGCTTTTACCTTCGTTCCACATATGGACTGACTTTCACGTCCCAGTGTACTGGCATTGTATGACATCACAGCATCGACATTCGTTTCTCATTTTTCTACAGTACTCAATCCGCATGTTTGATCGAGCTCAACCATAGAGGGTCTGCGTCGTCATGACCTTTAGACCTTTGCCCTACATCTGAGGGCAGCGGACGTCTGGATCTTCCAGCTCTGCAAGTAACCCAAAGTCGCAGCCACGGCAGATGGTTCCGTTTGAAACACTGATCGGTTGGTGTTTCAGATGCTTGACTGGAGGGCTGTCGAAATGCTTGACTGGAAGGCTTTCATTGTTGACCACATTCACACTAGACATCACTAGACATGCATGAATGTCATTCACATAAGTCACACACACATGTGTGTGTAATAAATAAATAAATAAATATATATATATATATAATATGCGTATTCGAGATATTATATTGTGTATTACATATATATATATACACACATAAGTATATGTAATAAGTATATTATATTATATATATATATGAGTCGTATAAACATATATATATATTTACATAAGTATATATATATATAAATAGGTATATATGTAAATATGTATAAGTAAGCGTACATACATCTCTATATATATATACATACACACGCACACACACACACATATATATATATACACAAGTATATAAATATTATATATATATATATATTCGCCAGTATATATATATATATTTGTATACATATATATATATATATATACAAGTATATATATAACTATTTTTATATACACAATTATATATATACACAAGTATATATATAATATTATATATATAAGTGCATCTCTATATATATATACATACAGAAATACATAAGTATATATACATAAGTATATATATACTTATGTAAATATATGTATATATATATACATACAGAAGTATATATACAGAAGTATATATACAGAAGTATTGACACATAAGTATATACATATAAGTATATATACATAAGTATATATATATACGTATACCTAAGTATTTATATATATATACATAAGTGTATGTGTATATATATATATACATAAGTATATATGTATATATAAGTGTATATAGCACGCACACACACACGCGATCACACACACACATATATATATATACATACATATATATGCCCATATGTCGGCAGTCGATCTAAAGGTCCTTGCAAGGAGTTTTGATTGCGAAAGCCGTGCGTGTTATGTTGGAAACCCTCGCGAAAGTTTTTGTGGAGTTCGCGAAAGAACATTTTTTATTCGCGAAAGCTTCGCGAAAGTTGGATATTATGAATCGTTATCATTGTATACATTACAGCTTGTTAAGGGCCACCACCTCCTGCCGCCCGGGGTCCGGCAGGACAATGGTACCGCACCATAAGTAGCAGCCAAGCTTCTGAAGGTGAGCCAAATACCATGGTCTTGAAGCACATCCTTGCAACTGCCGCTGTTACTGCCTAACGTTGCTTACTGAAGTCTCAAGAAACAAGCTCCACATGCAGCAGCCAAGCTTCCAAAAGTGAGGCTTTGCAAGAGCCAAACGCCAAGGCCCCTGGTGTTTGCTTTTCCTTTGATGTGCCCCCTGCTGATGGCTGGGGTCTGCGGATAGGGGTATTATTGCGAAAGGTTCTGCGAAAGAGTGGGCGAAAGTCAAAGTGCAGTTTGAAGGGAGTGGCCCAGTAAGCCTTGCAAAAAATTGCAAAATCAGCAACAACCTGTCCTGAGAAGGGGATTTGGTGATGCTAGCTGCATGTTTGCAAGGCTATGAAGAAGTTATCCGTGATAATTTTGTGTGATTGGGCCGGTGATGAATGAATCTTTATAAGGGGAGTTGTTGCTCAACATGGGTTCCGTGAACGTCAAACATGGCGTTCGCGAAAGAGTCGCGAAATAAAAGTATTTGCGAAGAATGGCCGTTCCCGGATAAAAGAATTTTGTCCAACAATCATGTATACACATTGTATTGACAGATGGCGATGGGGAGAGAGAGAGAGGGAACGATTTTTGGCCCACGCACACACACATGCATATTAACAAGTTATACGTGTTCACACTCACATAGAAAAGACATCATCCATGTATGCACAGGCTAGGGACACTAAGTTCCCACCTGAAACCTGAGCTGCGTGCCTGATGAAGGAGAGTATCAGGATCCTTTAGCGCTTCCATATGCCCTATCCATCGAGCGCTTTTGTCCGAAAATGCAGCCACTGGATGAGGACCCTGAGGTGGGACCAAGTCGAAACACATTTCACCTTTTCCAGATTGCATGCAAAAATGGTGCCTTTTACCTAAGAGCGATGCTCAGCAGCTCCACTCATGCTCGCTTGGGACAATTGCTTGGAAGGCATTTATGGAAGAAAGCAGGAAGTTTTACCTCTCGCACCGCGGGCCCGTGGCTGCTCCAATCGAGAGTGCGGTCACTCATGACGCGAGCCCTTTGGCCTATTCTGGCCTGCATTCTGTTGACTCTTGCAAGAAACATGGAACTGCCGGGTGGCTCTAATTTAGGGCCACCAGAAGCTAAGGCATGTTGACGCGAAAGGAGGTTGTGATTGCCCGGGCTATCTTCCAATTCTGCATGGATCAGGCCGGTCAACAGAGAAGCGTTCAGAGCGCGAACTATCAACAAATACAAGATGGATGAGGAAGAAGGAGAAAAAGAGAGAAGAGAGGATGAAGAAAAAAGAACGGATGAAGATGAAGAAGAATCAGAAGACGAGAAAGGAAGAGATTAAGTGATGAAGGGGAAACGCATCCAAAATAATTACGCAAAACAGCGAAAATGCGTGGGAATAGAAGAAGGATGGGACGGAGGAACAGGAAAAAAACAAAAGTGAGCTGCTGTTGCATTAGGGTGACGTGAGTTGGCAAAACTATGCTGCAGCTTTGTGCGCACGTGCGCCCACAAGCTTGGTCAGTAAATCCGCTGAAGATTGTATAGGACAGGTACTGCGCAGATTCATCTGAAATTGAGGTCCAGAAAAGGAAGTAATGCATCACCAATTGAATTGTGCTGGAAGTGTTCAGTTCCAATTGAATCGTGCTGGAAGTGTTCCAGACCTATGGCCGGCCAGGGCACGTTTCAGATGTCTCATGCTGAATTGCAAGCTGGACTAGGGCGAGATGATTTGACAGCAGACCTATGGCAACTTGGCCGCAACACCTCGATTTTCAACAGCTACTCAGAGCTTTGCACCGATGTTCCAACAGCTGTGGGAAGTCACAGCGAGTCTCAGGGAAGCATCGGAGGGAGCTGACGGCGCAGGTACAAGCTTCATCCAGCATTGGAGAAGGTGAATGATGAAAGAAGTCGAAGCATCAAGGTGGACATTTTTTTTTTGATATTCATTGTCGCAGATTCTGTTCATACAAATTGTTCAACTTCCAGCAATATGAACTGGAAGCAGTAATAACTTAGTAATAACTCACTGTTTGCAGCCACTCCAGCCCCAGTCTTGTCAAGCACGATTCCTCCGCAGGTGGACATCTTCACTTTCTTGCGCAAGTTGTGCCCAGGCCTCCCCAGCCCGGCGGCAGCCAGCAAGTATGATATATATTGCAATATAACATTCTCTAACGTAGAAAGTCGGTGGACAGTTCACGACAGCGCTCGCCAACTTCGATTCTGTCCCAGATGTCCCAGTGTTGGGGCGCAAGCAAAGCTTGATGCAAGCTTGCACTTGCTGTGAGGTGTGCAGCCAATGCATTTACGCATGTTTGACGGCTGGCTTCAGCAATTTGACCAGATGCAGCACCACCAGAAGTTTGTCGAGGCGCAAGCCGAGCAATTGAGGATACAGGATACATACATCTATGAGGATGTCCACCTACTTGCAATATCTTGCAGTGGGGTCAACTTAGTATATGGAGCTTGCTCGGACGGGGGCAGAGACCCATTTGAGCTTTGCTAGTCTTCCCTTTGGGTGCTCAAGCTTATGTTGCTCTTTATTGACGGTCTTCCAATTGTGCATCAGTTCTGCATGTTCTATTGGCTCATGGTCTTATCCGGCATTTGTAGGTCTTGTAGAAGGAACAGTGTTTCCTAGTGTCATCCATCGACTTTTTCTCCCAATCAGGCCGGCGAGCAGTCAGTTTCGGCTCTGTCTCAGATGATAGCGCTGCCTGTCATCCCTGATATGGAGTTAACCAAGCTGGAAGCATGGTTGAGACATTGAGAATTATGGGTTGGGTGGCAGACGGCCATGCTGATGCTGATGACAGTAGGCGGTGCTGGATAGCCTTGCACACCAATGACTTTCAAGTGTTGCAGGCCCAGTTGACATCCACGTTTTGTCACGTTTCGTCGCGTTTGCATATGTTTCTTTTGTGCTTCATGTCGGCATCTGACATCATCTGATGCACAGCCACGCACAAAGGAAAGACAATTTCGGGAAATTGACGTGGAAGGACAGGGCCTCATCACGCTGCAGCAGATCGAGCAGGTTGCTGGTACTGTATTATTTACCCTTGTCCGCTCTTCTCCAAGTTGTGTCGAGTTGGTTCAAGTTGATCCGAGATGTTTTGCTTTTTCATGGTCTGATTCTTTCTGCAAAATTGTAAGCTCAGGCTTTGAACCTCGACTGCGAGGTGCTCAAAAAGTATGATGTGTCGGAGGATGGCTTCATTGACAACCACGAATTCGTTGCACCCCAGTGGCATAAAGCATCCAGTTTGCTGAAACGGACGTCTTGAACACACTTGAACTATCTTGAACATTCTTGAAAATGAGTATCTTTCAAGGCGATGATGTGTCCTGACGAGTTTCGCCCGCCGGAAATGAGCGGATTTGACCAAGAGGCGGGGAGAACTTGGCATCACACTTTGCCCTTGCAGATGCCAGGAATCCTTTGGAATCCTTTGGAGTAGTTGCCGCATCGTGCCGCATCTTGCCATGTGTGCAGGTACTTGGGAGTTTGCTCATGAGCTGCGTGCAACGTCATCGTAAGGATCTCGACGAACAGAAGGCATTGTACGCTGGAGGGGTGCCTTGGACCGAAAGGTTCTAGGAGTATTTGGATGATGCGCGCGTATATACATAGCACATGCATGTACGCAAGCACATACACTGGCTAGATGAACACGCAAAAAAACAAACGCAAGAATAAATGGAATAATGAATGCAGAGACAAATTAAGCACAGAGAAATTTGCACAATCAAAAACACGCAACAGATACATACAGTACAAACTGCACATCCTGCACATCCTGTACATCCTGTACATCCATCCATACATCCATACACGCATTCGTGCATGCATGCGTGCGTACGTACATCCATCCATCAATCCATCCATCCATCCATCCATCCATCCATCCATGCATCCGTGCATGTATGCGCATTGTGATAGATGGATAGGTGCATATACAGACATATGGGCCAACATTTAGGTGTATACACAGAGATCCGTATGTAAAGATGTATGTTTATATATCTATCATTTATCCATCTATCTATCGATCCCCTACCCATCTACCTATCTACCTATCTACCTATCTACCTATCTACCTATCTACCTATCTACCTATCTACCTATCTACCTATCTACCTATCTACCTATCTATCTATCTATCTATCTCTCTATCTATCTATCTATCTATCTAGCTATCTAGCTATCTAGCTATCTATCTATCTATCTATCTATCTATCTGTATTAGATGTACTCGCTAAATTCCACCTGAAGCTCGCTGCATGCGCCTTACTGCTTAGGCATTTCCAAGCTGACATGGAGACCATTTAGATTGTGAAAATTGTGGAAGCCTGGCAACTCTTCCTATTGTTCTGATGGTGCCAAGGTGGAGCGAAAGAATCAGATGCCAGCTTCCATGCGGCCAGCCGGGACCTACAGAACTGCTTAAAGGCTTAAAGTAAAGTATGTAAACACAGCCGTATTGCTATCTAAGCACAGCCCATTGCTACAATTCTAGTTGCAGCACAGTTGCCCCAAAGCAAACATATTGTTGATAGGCTTGATATGCTTGTAGAAAACAGTGGTAAATAGTCATACGAAGCTGATTCCAAGGAGGTGCCAGAAGAGACATGGGCTGCTTGGAACGCTGTCTTTGACCGGCTCGATAATGATGGCGACAATGTCATGTCACCTTCAGAGTTGAGGCCATTTCAGTGCTGGGGCGAGACAAACATGCTAGGCATGATCATAGGCCAACTAAAGGGCCATGAACTTGTGCAGCCGAAACCAAAACGAATGGATTTCTGTGCCATTCCATTTGGAAACTCTCAGACGCAGAGATGTTCGTTTGTGCTTGTTTGCCTTGTGTCCTTGAGGTCATCGATGCTGCTGTCCCAGCGAGTTTGCGACCAACTCATCGCATCAGCTGCACGCGTTGAAGGGCACGAGGGGATACGGAGAAGACTCTTGTCTGCTTACTGCAAAGTACATGCATGAGAAGGACTAAATGCAAGAAAAATGCAAGAAACATGTATCAAAACCATCAGGTTTTTTCCGAGAAATGGATGCCACTCCCGCCTGATGAGGAGATTTCTTGCTTGCACTCCTGGACTTTCATGCTCCTTCGCTGCACCCACGGCCTCCAGCATCATGCAGAATTCTGCAATCATTAGATGTTTTTTGTTTCCATTTTCCATCGATTTTCAAGGCTGTTCAAGGGTCAATTCACTTCGTTGCACCACTGAGAAATGGCGCCGACCTGGCTTTGTGATGAGTGGTAGCTGAGCCGGTGCGGATGTTGTTGCGGCTGATCGCAGGCAGCATAGGTCCATGAAACAGAAATTGTTCGTACAATTTTCGTACCTGAAACTTCTTACATTTTGAACACGCTTTTCATATCCGCCCATCAAACTAGTAGGCCCTTAATAGGCCTTAGATACCCAAGAGTGCCAAGCCCCTTCTGTTTGATGCAAAACGCGCGAACAGAGTGTAGAAAGTTATAAGTAGCAATCTGCGATGCCAATAGAGCTCGCAAGCTGCAAAGCAGCATGTGCAGAGCCGCAGATTGAATATTTGACAAGTTTCACTACACAAGAATACTCACGCATTTTCAAAACTTTGGCTGCATCTCGGATGTGACCTCCCTCTTGCGAGTTGCCAAGTCTTCGGCCAAGACAAAGACATGACTACAAGACATTTGGAGCTTGTGTGCATTCCGATTCAGCATCTCTGTCTTCCTGCCTAGATCATAGGTGTCAGTCATTGTCAGCCCCAGTCCTTCCACCTCTTGAGGTCAAGCAGAACGGCCTTAGGTGCAGCTCTTGACGTGGGACCCGCATATGACGTATATTATATGACGCATATGCAATCTCTTTGCACCTGGACCTGCCCATACCTGCCCGTTTAAGCCCGTCACTTCACCATGTTGAAAGCCGGATGCCGCAACAGCCCAATCGGCCCATTCCCGTGGTTTCACATGGTATGTCCGCCATGTTCCTCCTAGTAGCATGACCCATATCAGTGCTGAAATAAGCTGAGATCGATTGATGACATATCTGTACATGTTTGACTGACATATCATATTATATTTGACATCACGTTTTAACCACTGCTTCATTGCACCGGTAGAATGAACGGGCATACATTGCCCACTTCTGTCAGGCGGTTGCACCCAGTTGCTGTGGCAGAACACACCGCCCTGTGACTTGTCAACGGATGTGATTTTCTGCAAGACAAGTGCCTGCAATTAAATGGAATTACATCAATTGCCTTTGGAAGATGCAGCGCTCCCAAGTTTGAGATAGTTTGAGCTGTTTTTGATCCCTTGTCTCTATACCTTACGCTCCAAGTGGATCAAGCTTTGAACCGCAGCTCCTCTCACAAATTCACTAAGAGACAGGCAGCAGCAACCTGCTCTTCATACTGAAAGGCATACATGTTCAACATTGTTCAACACATTTCTTCCCCCATGTAGCAAATCAATGCAAGTTATGCACAAATCATCAGAAATCACTGGGAAGGAATCGACTCACAGATTCGTTTGTCCCCAGCACTGCACAGCCTGCACTTCCTGCACTGCATGACTGCTGAGTGTACTCAATGTACCTCAATGTACTCACTGGATGGCTCCGCGACTCCGGGCTGTGGCCCTGACTCTGGTAAGGTGCACAGCTTGGCAGCTGCTCGACCGAAATTGTTGGCCCGACTTCTCTGCGCACTATGCGAGTTGTTGTCAGGAGGCTGTGCCGTGTTCGTTTGTGCCCAGATGTGCCGTTTGAAAGCTGCTGTATGTTTTGGATTGCTTTGTTGAGCCGAAATCCCGAACACAGCTTCTTATGCATTCACACTTTCTGTTACTTTGCAAACAGATGTTTTTGTTTTACTGTATTATTCTATCATTCCTGGTTGGCCCCCTCGCCTTTTAATTTGCCTTGCGTTCATTTTTTCTCCACTAGCAGTCTGACAGGGCATCCCTCCAAGTCCTCAGTGCTTTGATGAGTCCAGAACTTTCGAGAAGTGTTGCAGATGCCAAAATGGCGCAGAGCTCTCCCTGGGGCACCGGCTGACTCAGCAATTCTTTGGGCCCTTGCTTTGTCATCCATCAGTGGCAACACATGAAGATGACTTCTGGATTCAGCACAAAGGTAAACGGCGGCTTTTGCGCATTTTCATGTATCCTCTTCCACGAATGTTCAACGCGGATCTACTGAACAGACTCCAGCTCGGTGGTTGGATGGATGGAAGCGAGTGCGACTATGGTTTAACTGCCTGCACCGAATCAAAGTGGAATGGTCTCTTTTCTGTGTACCGTCAATTTGCTACAGAGATTCTGGTGCTTCTGAAGTTCCTGGCTGCACCAGAGGGCGTGCTAACGGAAGACCCTGAAGAGGCGGATCTTTTTGTGGTCCCTTACTTTGCCAAAACTGACTGTGCTGAAAGCGGCAACGCGGGGCGTGATCCGTGTTGGGGAAAGTGCAAATGCGCAACGGTTGTGAAACATCTCTTCTCTGCCCTTCCACACTTCTCCTGGCACACACGTGGGCGACACCTATTCCTGGCCACAGGTGACATCAAGGATTTACCTGTGGAGATTCAGTCGCAGCCACTACTTGTGTCATTGGGGGCATCGTTCTGTGGAGGTCATGTGGTGGTTCCAAGCCCCAACCTCGATCCAGATTTGCAGCCGGGTGGCAAAATGGAGACCAAGGAGGCTGCAGGCCGTGCACCTGAGCGACATATCCTGGCCTTTTGGTTTGGTTCTATCGATAAGATCTGGAGGAAACGTGTGGTGAGCCAGATGCAGAAGTACCAGGAACAACAGGAACAACAGGAACAACAAACTAGACTCACTAGACCTGTAGTAATCCATGGAATTGATGGAGACTATGTCGCGCGAGATATTTGGCAAACAACTGCCAGCTCTCCGCAAATGGTGTTGGAGGAGATGATGAGGCTGGGTGGGTGAGCAAATGAATGTGTTGAATCTGTTGCTTCACAGGAACGGGGGATCAAAGCATGGCTGCCTGAAGGGGCACTTGTTGATATATTTGTTGCTAGCCACTCAGCCCATTCCGAACCTTGCAAGGTCAGAGTTCTGCCCAGTTGTGCAGGGAGATGTGCCACACCAAAAGAGGCTCTTTGTGGCGACCTCAGATGCATCTGGGAGTTGCAGATTAGTAGAGATAGGAGATTCCTGCACAATTCCTTATCAGGTTGAACAACCACAATGCTTACTCTGCCACAGGGTTCCACGATGGTTTCACGCAGTCCATCGAAATCCGAGTTGCATTTCAGACCTTGCAGGATGCTATGCTTACCGGGTGTATTCCTGTTGTGGTTGCCTTCCAATCCCACGTCCCTGACTACGTGAGCTGGTGGCTTCCGGGTGGGCCACCGATTGAACGTATGGTGCCATTTTGGGACGCCATCGACTACCGTAGCTTTGTCGTCGAGGTCTCGGAGTCTGAGGCTCGGGGCTTCAGAAGAGTCGAGTTTGTTTTGGAATGCGGTGGAATCTGTGATTGCAGGACGCCGTGATATGCAATGCGCTCGCACAAGCTTCAACAGATGATGTGTTGGTGCTGCAACAGTATGTTCATGCTAGACAATTCTTGGTTATGTTTAAATATGTTTAAATGTAGGAGATGCTTGAACCAGACGGCGCCATGAAGGTCAGAGCTGGTAGATTCATGGACCGATTGCTGCGGATCACTCACTCAGAGATTCAACAGCGCCGTGAAGCTATGCGGCACGCGCGGGCATTGGTGCGCTTTGACTTCTCGGGATCGGCCCCGGACGCTTTCACAGAAATTGTGGGCGAGACATTTGGCTGCAGCTGCGCCCATCACAACTCAGGCTACGCCGGACAGCATTTGTGATTTGTAGATATAAAATGATATAAACTGTACTTGTAATGTAATTTAGTAGGTTGGGATTGAGGGTCACTTCAGTTCACTTCTCGGTCTCGCAGGCAGAACACCATCCAGTTTGTTCACTCAGTGACACCACATAAACAGAAAGTTTGTGTCAGCCGGTTCCTTTTTTCCCAAATGCGTAGCGAAGGGTTCTGGTTTTACTTTGAGGGTCTGGGGGTTGAGACATGTTCACTTGACGCTGCTTCTGTTTTCACAAACCGTTCGCAACCGTTCGCACCGTAGGCAACGGTTCGCGATGAGGACGCTATGGCCGTGCCTATGGGGAGTGCTGCAAAAAGTGGTCACTTTTGGAGGTTTGAAACGTCGCGCAACCTCGTTTCGTGTGGCAGACGTGGCTCTTTGTGACATTCCAACATGTTTCATAATGTCATAACGTGCCAAGAGTCGGTCCGTGTGACAGGCGCAATACTCTTGACACTCTACACCTTACACTCCACACTCCACACTCTACACTTCTACACTTCTACTCTTCACGCTTTACACTTGACACTCCACACTTTGCACTTTACACTTTTCACTTTACACTTTGCACTTCACACTTTACACTCCACACTTCACACTTGACTCTCCACACTTTACACTTTGCACTTTACACTTTACACTATACACTTTGCACAACGCACTTTCTACACTTCACACTTCACACATGACACCCCGCACTCTACACTTTGCACTTTGCGCACTTTACACTCCACATTCTGCACTTTACACTCCACACTTTACACTCCACACTCTACATTCTACGCTTTACACCTTACACTTCGCACTTCACACTTAAAACCCCGTACTCTACACTACACTTTACACTCCACACTCTACACTTTACACTTTGCACCTTACACTCCACATCATTCCACACTTTACACTTGACAGTGCGCACTCTACACTTTTACACTCCACACTCTACACTTTACACTTTACACTCCGCACTTTACACTTTACACTCGACACTTCGCACTCACAATCCCCACCTCATACCCTACATACTGCATTCCCCACTCAACACTGCACTGTCCTTACACTCCACACTTTGCACTCCACCCCATTCCAAACTCCACAGTCTATACTGGTACGGTAACAGGGGAAGAATGTACAAGAGTGTTGGAATAACTTGTTTCACAAAAGTGTTTCGCGTGACTGCATTCGAGTTCGTTGGTTCCTTTTTTTGGGGGCACAAGTACCATATAAAGTGACAGCAGTTTCAATATCTGCACCAGGGCGGCGGCAGGCTGTGTACAGTACACAGTCAGTGTTCACACTGTAGAGAGTTTGGAGTGCTCCCAGGTTGTCTAGGTTGAGGGGCTTGCCGATTGGAATTGGTGGAACCAAGGATCTGGGAATTTATCTCTACGCTTGGTGGTCCTTCGCGTTGCCATGGAAAAGGTATAGCTGTGCCGTTCAATGCAACTGGTTTTGATTGTGGCGTGCCCCCCACCATTGCTGAGGCGGGAAGGGGCCCGTGAGCTGAGCTCAAACATGCATGGAGACATGGAGCTTTGGACAAATCATGAACCAAACCCAGAAGTTTGTGCTGGGCAGCGCTAGTACCAGTGAGAGAGGGTGCACCGGGTTTGTTCTGTTGTCACTTATGCGTTTTCCTGACGCTGCACCAATCTTGAACCAAGGGCACCCAGATGTATGGGCTCATGGCGTGTTGCCCATTGGGCGCGACATCACGTGGTTTCGGTACTCGACTGCGATGACCTCCAAGAGGGAATTCTTTGACAATTTCGTCACTGTTCTTCACCGTTCGTCCTGTTCGTCACCGTTCGTCACCATTCGTCACCGTTCTCTCTCATGTTTGGCTTCCTGCGGAGCAGGACGACTTGGAATCCGTGCGTCTTGGAATCTTGACATGTGTTGGCAATTCTTGGCATGTCTTATACTCTTGCTCGAGTCTACTCAATGCCGAAGGCGGCAATCTGTTCGGGCAGTCCTCGACGCTGGAGACCGTCAACTCTCGGGCCTGTATGCAGGGCATACGCCGGGGAGATTAAGGAACTTACAGGAGCAGAAACCAACTTCATGCACAACAGCTATGCCAACCTTGGACCAAAGAGGCGCAGTACAATGAGCAGGGGAGTGTTGCATTCACCAATGAAGCACTCGACATAGCCATGCTGCTTCTGCACGTATTATGGTGGGAAGCCATTGTGTGCCGCGGCAACCTAATGTAAAAAGGGTTGACCGAAGGTTGAGATTTTAGCATATGATTTTATTCAGGTTGAGAACTTTGCGGTTGCATACGGTCCCGTTCGTGTCAAATGTGTAACTTTGTGACACTTTCCTGAGGCTAACCCAATGGCAGCAGCGCAGTGGCACCATTCGTGTCGTTGTGAGGGTGAGGCCCATGTTTGCACCAGGCGCAACGGGGCTGTTCCTGTTGAGGGCGTTGTTCAGAGATTATCCATGGTTCACAGCTACTGAATCCAAACACTGCATGACTATTGGGCTACAAAGTCTCTGTCTATAATCTCATAAAAGAATCAAAGAATCGAAGATGAGCAAAAGAAGGTCGAAGACCTTTGGAACGGTCGCATTGTGAGATCTACTTTTACAAGAGAGACGGTACTAGAAACAGACGCTTGACCAGAGGCTTTTAAGCGGTCCTGAACAGCAGCAGGCATTCCTGACTCTGCAGAGCAAGAGGAACCAGCTAGGGCCTTTGTGGTTGATGGATGCCTAAATCTTGTTGATCCATGTCGCTCCACTGTCGGCCAGTGCGGACCACAGCACAACACTGTGTCACTCAGCAGTGATGCATTTGCCTTGCAGTGTGGTGATGCAAATCTTTCATCTTGCTACTTCAAGGCTGTGAAGGTTCTCCCTGGAGCTTCCCAGCATCGAGGAATCACAGTTGGAAGCCCAACATGTGTTCATAAGATGTCACAAGCTTCAGAGCTCTTCATGGTTCTTTCCGGTTCTTTTAGTTGTTTATTCCCCACCTGCTAGGTGAGGGTTGTTAGATTTTATCAGAGTTGTTCTTCTCCTCCTCCTTCTTCTTCTCCTCCTCCTTCTCCTCCACCACCTCTGCCTCCACTCCCATGTCTACTTCCGCCTTGCCAACTCTTCGCCGCAGTGGCCACTGCTGGACCTCAACTGCAAGGGTCTGAGCGCACTGGGCACCGCTGCACCTCAATCTGGGACCTTCCAAGCTCAGTGAGCACCGCTGGACCTTAACCTGGGACCCTCCGAGCTCAGTGAGCACCGCTGGACCTCAACCTGGGACCCTCCGAGCTCAGTGAGCACCGCTGGACCTCAACCTGGGACCCTCCGAGCTCAGTAAGCACCGCTGGACCTCAACGGCCAGATAGAATGCCAGAAGATATGCCAGATAGACCGCCAGATAGCATGTCAGATAGAATGCCAGAAGATATGCCAGATAAAATGCCAGAAGATATGCCAGATAGAATGCCAGAAGGTATGCCAGATAGAATGTCAGATAGAATGCCCGCAGGTATGCCAGATAAAGTGCCAGAAGGTATGCCAGATAAGGTGCCAGAATGTTTGCCAGATAGAACGCCAGAAGATTTGCCAGATAGAATGCCAGATAGAATGCCAGATAGAATGTCAGAAGATATGCCGGAAGATATGCCAGATAGAGTGCCAGAAGATATGCCAGAACATATGCCAGAAGATATGCCAGAAGATATGCCAGGTAGAATGCCAGAAGATACTTCAGATAGAATGCCAGATAAAATGCCAGAAGATATGCCAGATAGAATGCCAAGAAGGTATGCCAGATAGAATGTCAGATAGAATGCCAGAAGGTATGCCGGATAAAGTGCCAGAATGTTTAATGCCAGAAGATTTGCCAGATAGAATGCCAGATAGGATGTCAGAAGATATGCCAGAAGATATGTCAGATAGGATGCCAGATAGAATGCCAGAAGATATGCCAGAACATGTGCCAGAAGATATGCCAGGTAGAATGCCAGAAGATATGCCAGATAGAATGCCAGATCGAATGCCAGAAGATATGTCAGATAGAATGCCACAAGATTTGCCAGTAACAGAACGTATAAATGTCATGGTGGGGATGACTCGAAGTAAAGTAATGCTTTTCCCGAGAGCGTCTGAGCGCACGGTTCTTCCAATAGTGGGGGTCTGTATCTCATCTTCTCATCTTCGCATCTTCTCATCTTCACATCTTCTCATCTTCACATCTTCTCATCTTCACACCTCCTCATTTTCACATCTTCTCATCTTCACATCTTCTCATCTTCACATCTTCACATCTTCTCATCTTCACATCTGCTCATCTTCACATCTTCACATCTTCACATCTTCACATCTGCTCATCTTCACACCTTCTCATCCTCACATCTTCTCATCTTCACATCTTCACATCTTCTCATCTTCACATCTGCTCATCTTTACATCTTCACATCTTCACATCTGCTCATCTCACACCTTCTCATCCTCACATCTTCACATCTTCACATCTGCTCATCTTCACATCTTCTCATCCTCACATCTTCTCATCTTCACATCTTCACATCTTCACATCTGCTCATCTTCACATCCTCACATCTTCACATCTGCTCATCTTCACATCTTCTCATCCTCACATCTTCTCATCTTCACATCTTCACATCTTCACATCTTCTCATCTTCACATCTGCTCATCTTCACATCTTCACATCTTCACATCTGCTCATCTTCACATCTTCTCATCCTCACATCTTCACATCTTCACATCCTCACATCTTCACATCTTCTCCTCTTGCCCTCTTGCCCTCTTGCCCTCTCTTTCTTTTCTATTTCTCTTCTGAAGGCGGGGGCAGGGGCAGTGCCAACGAGACGGCACGAAACTCAACCCTTTCGCACGAAACGAGGTTCGATCGTCAAAAGCTGCGGTAAAATTGCGATTCCAACTTGTCCCGCGCAACCCTTTCGCACGAAATGAGGTTCGATCGTCAAAAACCATGTGTAAACGCGTCTGTGTGTGAAAGCGTCTGTGTGTAAAAGCGTCTGTGTGTAAAAGCGTCTGTGTGTAAACGCGTCTGTGTGTAAAAGCGTCTGTGTGTAAAAGCGTCTGTGTGTAAAAGCGTTAGTGTGTAAAAGCGTTTGTGTGTAAAAGCTTTTGTGTGCAAAAGTGTCTGTGTGTACAAGTGTTTGTGTGTAAAGGCGTTTGTGTGTGAAAGCGGCTGTGTGTGTGCAAGCGTCTGCGTGTAAAAGCGTCTGTGCGTAAAAACTTCTTTGTGTAAAAGCGTCTGTGTGTAAAAGCTTCTTTGTGTAAAAGGGTCTGTGTGTAAAGGAGTCTGTGTGTAAAAGCCTATGTGTGTAAAAGCGTCTGTGTGTAAAAAGCGTCCGTGTGTAAAAATGTCTGTGCGCAAAAGCTTCCGTGTGTAAAAGTGTCTGTGTCTAAAACCATCTGTGTGTAAAAACCTCTGTAAAAAGTTCTGTGTGTGAAAAGCTATACAAAAGATACGATGCAAACTACTGTCTTGTACTTGTGCTATATTGTCTTGATACTACTCTTCTCGTCTGCCTATAACACATCTTTAATATATTGTTTTCTAATATGGTGTCTCCATACTAACAAGAGAAGACCCTGCTCCTCTACGCTCTCGGGCCATCCGTCGTCTAGTTTTTGTAGCATATGTAGTTGTCTAATGTTGTCTAGTTGTTTAATTTCTTTCAATTACATCTGACCGTCCAAACTTTTCAAATCTCAAGTTGTGATTCAAAGGTGGCGATCCCTCGGCGAGGTCGGCTCGGAGCCGACGTGCACAATTTCAAGCGCCTGGACTACGTTCTGAGCTCTGAGAAGGCCAGGGACAGGACAGGACACTTTTTAAATATAGTTGAACTATATTTTTTCAAATATTATTTTGGTAATTATTAATATAAAGATTTGCAATGATAATTACGAATATTTTTTAAATAAATGAACAAATATATAAATTAAAATATCTACATCACACACCCACACACACCCACACAAACCCACATATGCTAGGTCTGGAATGTTCTGTGGTCTCAGGTTTATGGGACATGTCACGCGATCCCGTGAGCTTTCGAGCATGGTGTCATTTGGTGTCCAGGGCCAGGAAGCGGTCTTCCACGAGCTTCGAGCAATGCTGCCATCAGCAAGTCCAGGCAGGAGAATGCTGAGAAAACCGTGCCGTAGCATCTGTCATCTTTCAACAGAGTGGACTGTGCAGAAAATTTGCTCACACTGCCATCAGACAGTATCTCAAAACCCAGTTCCATACTTTCTGATGAACTTGCTGCATGCTCTAACCTTTGAGAGACTCAGGAACATAGGTTCAGGCAATGCTGGCAAATGCATGCAAATGCTAAGCTGCTAAATTTCCGGTGTAGACTATGGATTGTGGGATTGATCGTTTGAGGTGGCCTTGCCGGTCCACCCCAGCCGAAGCCTCAATAGATTCACGCACGTCCCCCGTCCTCTTGCTGCGCCTGAGGTCGGCTTGTATTTTGGCATATGGTCAAACTGGCTGGAACCCAAGCTCTGAATAGCTCTCACCAAACAACGGGAGATTGGTAGAGTCTGGTAGAGTCTGGTAGAGAGGTAGGTTACAAATTGATCAGCTGCGCCCCAGGCTCTGGTAAGACCCATACAATGCACGGAGGACACCACTTCCCGGAGGGACTCAGCACCCATAATTATCAGAGCAGGTTTCACAGAACCCTTGGTGGTTCTAATCAAACCGATGTGTTGTCAAGCCTTAACCAGTCCCGCCAGTTGAGGAACAGGTGAACAGCAGGGCCTTGTACCTCGAGTTCTTTTTGAGGTCTTCCAGCTTGCTGGTGCCAGCAGCAGCCTTGAGTGTCTAGCCAAAAGTATGGAACTTGCTAGAGTGAAAGGTGCTTGCTTTGCTAAAGCTCTTTGCGTGCATGTCCAGCAGACATTGTATCCCTTCTATCTCGTGGTATGACGGCTGCACGATTGGCACCTAGGTGGCGCAACTGTCTCGTTGAGTGCAGTGGAGATTTACAACGACATCGCGTGTGCTGCGTTGTTTGTATTTCAGTGAAAGCTCAAGTCATAGCAGTGGATCCAAGACTTTAAAGATCTTTAAAGCCTGTGGCACAAGTACACTGGCAATGGAGAGCAGCAAGACTTGGGAGATCTTGGGAGTAGGGATGCGTGTCATCGGAGTAGAGATATGGTGGCTCTATAACATTTTTTTTTCGATAAAATCATGTCATCAGTCAGCAAGTTTCATTATGCTCCGCTGCCAGTTGCTGCCAGTTGCTGCCAGTTGCTGCCAGTTACTCAGCCATCCTTCAGGTATGATCTCCTGGATGGTGCCACCAGCTCTGCTGGCGAAGCTGCAAATGATAATCCGGGCGCCCTTCTCAGAGGGTCTCAAGATGCCTAAAGTGGAGTCAAAACTCAAAACCTCTCAAGTTTAGTCTGATAAAAAGGTTTCGGGTTTTGGCATGGCTTGAGTACAGTGAAGACCTTGCTGAATTCGTCCACTTCACAGGTCGAGCATTTTCGGCTGGACGCGTGCCTCCTCCACCCGGGCTGAACTTCCGCCATGGATGTCAGTGTGCCCTTGAACAGGCAGCTGCTTCTTCTCAGGCATAAAATAGATCATCATGACCCAATCTCGAGTGTATCAAGGTGTATCAAGTGTGATTCAAGACTACTTGGATTATATCTTAGAGGCGTTGTCAAGGACATTTTCCGACTTGTTCAAACATCTTTAGCGTGCAATGCTTCTGATAACTTGGCCACACACAGCTGGAAGAGGCCACTTCAGTCGACGTTCAGGAGATGGAGGATAACGCCTCACAGCTGCTGCAGTGAATTCTTGAAAGCCATGGTTTTGCGGCGTTAGATGCTCAACAATGCCTAACACATCTAAGCTTCTCAGCTGGCTTATAGGAAACTTCGGTTATCTATGGTTATCTTAGATTTCGGACAGTTTATCTATATAAATGATTACAAGATATTATTAATGCACATATATAGATATATATATACCGTTAAAATGAAAGTTAGAATGCCTCCGCGAATTCCAAATATTCCTCCCCCTCAGTTAGAATGCGGCACGTGCACGGCAAAAAATCATTCAGTTAGAATGCCTCCGCACCCGGGTTTTAAGTTTTTTGTTGTTTTCGGAAAACTCTTTGCACAAATCCCTCACTTAGAATGCCTACACACTATGAATATCATCAGATGTTAGAATGCAGTTAGAACGCTTCCCCCTTGAAATTGCTTTGCCAGCATTTCAGCAATTAGAACGCTTCCCACTTGAAATTGCTTTGCCAGCATTTCAGCAGTTAGAATGTTTCCCCTTGAAATGGCTTTTTACCAGCATTTCATCAGTTAGAACGCTTCCCCCTTGAAGTTGCTTTTACACAAGCATTTCAGCAGTTGGAATGCTTCCCCCTTGAAATTGCTTTTGCCAGCATTTCAGCTGTTGGAATGCGTCCCCCTTGAATAGCTTTTTACCAGCATTTCATCAGTTAGAATGCTTCCCCCTTCATATTGTTTTTTACACAAGCATTTCAGCAGTTAGAATGCTTCCCCCTTGAAATTGCTTTCTACCAGCATTTCTGCAATATTAGAACGCTTCCCCCTTGAAATTGCTTTTGCCAGCATTTCAGCAGTTAGAATGCTTCCCAGCATTTCAGCAGTTAGAATGCTTCCCCCTTGAAATTGTTTTTTACCAGCATTTCAGCAATTAGAATGCTTTTCTTGAAATTGTTTTTTACCATTATTTCAGCAGTTTGAATGCTTCTTCCCTTGAAATGGTTTGGTACCAGCATTTCTTCAGTTTGAATGCTTCCCCTTTGATTTTTTTTACCAGCTTTTCAGCAGCTTTTCAGCAGTTAGAATGCTTCCCCGTTGAAATTGCTTTTACACAAGCATTTCAGCAGTTAGAATGTTTCCCCCTTATAATTGCTTTCTACCAGCATTTCAGCAATTAGAACGCTTCCCCCTTGAAATTGTTTTCTACCAGCATTTCAGCAATTAGAACGCTTCCCCCTTGAAATAGCTTTTGCCAGCATCCCAGCGGCTAGAATGCTTCCCAGCATTTCAGCAGCCTTGAAATTGCTTTTTACCAGCTTTTCATCAGTTAGAATGCTTCCCCCTTGAAATTGCTTTTTACCAGCCTTTCAGCAGTTAGAATGCTTCCCCCCTTCAAAATTCTACCTTTCAGTATGTATTATGCTGGTAAATGTGGATAAACATGTTCAAACATTGTTTGATCAAATTTGCCTACCTGTTGTGCCGGGGCCACCAAACCTTTCTTTTTTGTAGGGTTAGAATGCCTCCGCAGCATATGCCCCCAAAACTTATGAATTATATATATATATATAGATTTTAAATACATAAATGAAATTTTGGTCCCCAATGACGGATAAGTACTTACCACAGTTTGATATCATCATCATACACCCTACATCAACCAAATCCCGGAAAAACCCGGGTCGAGCTATCAAAACCTTGTTTTGAGTTGGTTTCAGCTAAAAAACAATTTTTAGTCAACAAAACCTTTGATGAAGCAGCTTCGCCAAAATCCGCCAAAAAAGACGCCGAAAACCTGTAAAAAACTCATCCAAACCCAAAAAAAACGTAAAAACCGTATTCCAAAACCGACCAAAGACTTGGTTTGCCGGGGCCACCAAACCTTGTTTTTTGTAGGGTTAGAATGCCTCAGCAGCATATGCCCCCAAAACTTCTGAATTCTATATATATATATAGAGATATATAGAGATTTTAAATACATAAATGAAATTTTGGTCCCCAATGACGGTTGAGATAAGTACTTACCACAGTTTGATATCATCATCATACACCCTACATCCAAATCCCTGAAAAACCCGGGTCGAGCTATCAAAACCTTGTTTTGAGTTGGTTTCTGCTAAACAACAAATTTTAGTCAACAAAACCTTTGATGAAGCAGCTTCGCCACAATCCGCCAAAAAAGACGCCGAAAACCTGTAAAAACTCATCAAAACCCATAAAGACCCGTAAAAAACAATAGTCCAAAACCGACCAAAAGCTTGGTTTGCCGGGGCCACCAAACCTTGTTTTTTGTAGGGTTAGAATGCCTCCGCAGCATATGCCCCCAAAACTTCTGAATTCTATATAGATTTTAAATGTATAAATGAAATCTTGGTCCGCAATGACGGTTGAGATAAGTACTTACCACAGTTTGATATCATCATCATATATCCTACATCAACCAAATCCCTGAAAAACGCGGGTCGAGCTATCAAAACCTTGTTTTGAGTTGGTTTCTGCTAAAAAAGCAAATTTTAGTCAACAAAACCTTTGATGAAGCAGCTTCGCCACAATCCGCAAAAAAAACTGCCGAAAACCTGTAAAAACTCATCAAAACCCATAAAAACCCGTAAAAAACAATAGTCCAAAACCGACCAAAAGCTTGGTTTGCCGGGGCCACCAAACCTTGTTTTTTGTAGGGTTAGAATGCCTCCGCAGCATATGCCCCCAAAACTTATGAATTCTATATATATATATAGAGATATATAGAGATTTTAAATACATAAATGAAATTTTGGTCCCCAATGACGGTTGAGATCCATTATTTTTCATTGGTTTTCATTATTTTGACGACGTTTTTCATTATTTTTCATTGTTTTTTAATTATATGGTAGAACATAGATACATAGATACTGTTTACATAGATGCATGCATATATACCGCAGGACTGGAAGTTATAATGCAACCTTGGTGGAAAGACATGGATTTCAAGAAAAAACAGGCGTACTGCGTGAGAATTCCGGGAGGCATTCTAACCTTATTTAATCCTCAAACCCATTCAAAAAATCCGGGGCGGCCTTCAGTGATTTTTCAGTATTTTGAAGATGTGTTCACTATTTTTCAGTGATTTTCATTATTTTGAAGATGTGTTTCATTGATGTTTCATTATTTTGAAGATGGTTTTCAATTTTTTTCCATGGGTTTCATGATTTTAAGAAGTTTTTGATTATTGATTATTGTCAATTATTGTTCATAGATTTTTCATTTTTTCAAGACGTTGCTCATTATTTTCATGGATGTTTCATTATTTTTAAGATGTGTTTCATTATGTTTCATTGATTTTTCAATGTTGTTGCATGTGTTTCATTGATTTTTCAGTGTTTTAAAGGCATTCTTCATGATTTTTCATTATGTTTTGTTTTTTTTCAATTTACATGCGTATTCTGCATATTTGCAATGCCATATACATGGAAGACACGGGACGGTCGAGAATGCGTTAAGAATTTTGGAGTTTTAGGAGTTTTAGGACTAAATAAATAGGGTTAGAATGCCTTCAGGACTAAATAAGTAAGGTTAGAATGCCTCACGGATTTTTCACGCGGTACGCGGGTCTTTTCTTGAAATCCACATCTTTCCACCAAAGCGGCATTCTAACTTCCAGTCCTGGGGTATAGTTAGAATGCGTTCCCCTTGAAATGGCTTTTTACAAGGATTTCAGCAGTTAGAATGCTTCCCCCTGGAAATTGCTTTCTACCAGCATTTCAGAAATTAGAACGCTTCCCCCTTGAAATTGCTTTTGCCAGCATTTCAGCAGTTAGAATGTTTCCCCCTTGAAATTGTTTTTTACCAGTTTTTCAGCAGTTAGAATGCTTCCCCGTTGAAATTACTTTTTACCAGCATTTCAGCAGTTAGAATGCGTCCCCCCTTGAAATGTTTTTTTACCAGCATTTCATCAGTTGGAATGTTTCCCGGTTGAAAATGTTTTTTTACCAGCATTTCAGCAGTTGGAATGTTTCCCCCTTGAAATTGTTTTCTACCAGCATTTCAGCAGTTAGAATGCTTCCCCCTTGAAATTGTTTTTACCAGCATTTCACCAGTTAGAATGCTTCCCAGCATTTCAGCAGTTAGAATGCTTTCCCCTTCAAGTTGTACAGGTATGTGCAAAAACGCGTGTGTAAATATATATATATAATCCCGATGGGATACATAGAATACAGAATCGATAATTTCGGCCTCAAAAACATCTCCCGGAATCGGTAAAAAATCCTATACATAGAATAAAAACATGTTCCGGAATCGGAAGAAGCATGGATTGCTGCAGCCGCCTGTGATTCAAACCAGTTCCGCAAAGGGACAATTGCGATTTCAGCATGGAAAGTGTGTTGCAACGCGTTTTGCTGGGGCAATCGCGGGGTGAACTATGAAAAACAAACATATTTTGCAATGAAAACAAATGGAAATGGGTGGTGTTTCTCAAAAAAATGATGAATATTTTCACTGGGGACCTATATTATTATTCTATGTATGTTCTTCTTCAAGGAATTGGGTCTCTTTCATGTATAAGAGTAAATATCATATACGTAATTCCCTTTGGGGAGTAGCAACCCTGGATGTCTGAAGTTCCTAAATAAACGTTCAAAAAAAAAACAGATCCCCCGAAATGATCAATTTCTTTTTATATTGCATTAAAAAAATGAATTTTTCAGGCTCACCGAAGGGTACCCCCCACGACCGGTGTCGTAGAACTATGAAAAAACTATTTTGCAATGAAAACCAATGGAATTGGGTGGTGTTCCCCAAAAAATGATGAATATATTTTCACTGGGGACCTATATTCTATGTATGTAGTTCTGCAAGGAATTGGGTCTCTTCTATTTCAGGGTATATATCATATACGTAATTCCCTTTGGGGAGTAGCAACCCTGGATGTCTGAAGTTCCTAAACTACACTGACCTAAAAGTAGATGGCTCAACTCAAAAACCAAAATGCCCACAAGATGGCACCGCGCGATGAGAAAGAAAACGGCGCTATTTTAGCTGAAACA